GACCGGCATATTTTGAGTGACAGCTCTCCATCCAGGGCTCCACCACAAATAAAGGAAATAAGAGGCACTGCTACAAGTTCTTTTCCACAAATGTGACCCTGGACCACAAAACCAGTCATAAGGGTCAATTTTTCAAAACTGAGATTTATACATCATAATAAATAAGCTTTCCATTGATGTATGGTTTGTTAGGATAGGAAAATATTTGGTCGAGATACAACTATTTGAAAATCTGGAATCTGAGGGTGCAAAAAAATCAAAATATTGAGAAAATCGCCTTTAAAGTTGTCCAAATGAAGTTATTAGCAATGCATATTACTAATCAAAAATGAAGTTTTAATATATTTACAGTAGGAAATTTACCAAATATCTTCATGGAACATGATATTTACTTAATATCCTAATGATTTTTGGCATAAAAGGAAAATCAATAATTTTGACCCATACAATGTATTTTTGGCTATTGCTACAAATATACCCCAGCAACTTAAGACTGGTTTTGTGGTTCAGGGTCACAATTGTGTCCCAGTGAAACTCTTTAACACACTTACCCATAAAGCTGTGAAGGTTAGCATGAACACAATGGTGAGAGACATGTCTAAATCCCTAGCAGGATTCTTATCTACTGGTATAGTCTAAAACACACCATTCTCTTTCATCCAAACAAAAGGGTTCAAAGCTGCTAGACTCTTTCTAGAATTCTGTGGTTTAAACATGAAAATGTGTTAAATGAGGCTGAAAGTGCTACATGCCATTGGTTGCTGAAAGCAAAATCAAATTAGGCTTAGTTTACCAACAACATTCATCTTAAGTTACATCGTACTTAAATTATTTTGTGCTAGAGCAAAACCGTGCCCCAAACCAGTCCGCAAAACGTAATACAAGACAGTGGTGCTGAGCCAAAACTTTCCCCAATATCTCCAATATTTTGGCCTCTCCAAAATGAAAATAGTGCCTAGTGTACACGCATAAAAAAGTATGTCGATTTGTCAAGATGTAAAAAATTATTATTATTAGTGAACAAAGAAAAATTTAGAAAAAGATTTTGAAAAAATTCACAACTAGATCAATGAACATGCATGAACATAAATTATGTAGTGATTATATTCGATGTGGACCATTATAATGTGCACAAATCTAGTATGTTAACATTTATGTAAGCCTACTTTTTTGCCAAAACTTGTGCAGAGTCTCATATTTCTTCTGAAATTGTCATTAAACACCATCTCTCAGTTAACAATTTAAGTTAACAATTCTCATCTAAGCAGACCTACAGTACATAACGTTATACCCTATTATCTGGATGTAAATTGAGGCCTATCATGCACAGTCTCTACATTTTTTATTCTGGCTTTGTAAAGATCAAAATGCATGTGACCTTTGTCTCTGATAAACTGTGAAAGCAAATGGAAAGAGGTGCTTGTAAATTTATGATCATTCAGCTTCAACAACCCTTTTGTGAAACATGACGGGCACCGAGCACCATTCCTCCGAGCACGTGTGATCAGTGTGTGGGCAATAAATCACACTCCGGGGGTCTTTCTATCAGTACCGAGTCTGTGTTCTCATTCACCCCGCGACAATGTCATAGAAATTAAATGCTACTCACATGCTACTAACGTGCTTTGGGAAACCGAGCCTTAGCCAAAATATCTAATAAACAAACGCTTAAGGGCCAACATAAAACTTCATGAGCATCATGCATTCCACTTTTTCCGAAATTTTTAGCACATATGGGCCTAGTTGCTCCTTAGTGAGATGATGCAACCCCGGGGATACACATTTGAAAAATTTAAAACGACCAAAGGTTTTCTCTCCTCTCCTTGACGCCATCTCTAGACTGTCCCCTTTGCATTCCTAATTGGAACACAACTAGGACCTGCTGTTCTGTCTTGTGGACCGTTTAAGAGCATAAAACAATCAACACTCAGTGTACTAAACCATCGCAGCCAGCTGAAATGGTTTCGAAAGTTTGAAGAATTTGGCCTTTATTTCTCTTTCTCAAACTTGGCTGTTTTTGTAAATCATAAGTAAAAATCATCTAGATTTATGAAGTGATTCATATAAAACCATACTGCCAAACTTATCAAATTGTTCAGCAATCTAGAGTTCTTTTGGGTATTGTTAGCCTGCACAAATAACATTTACAAGCCTAGAAATACTATTCACAAATAATCAGCCCTGCAGGTCACAGGCTTATTAGACAGCTTTGAAAGGTCCAAATATCTAAAATAGACATTGCAAATACTTGATGCAGTCTACTGGCTGTCTGAAGAGTTCAGTCTTTGGGTCAAGCTGCACATGTAATACTGGTTAAAACTAGCTCGGAGCACATCATAAATCAGGGATGGTGAGAATCTTCTTTTATGAGTGGTAGACAGAGCACTTGTACATAAATGGGAAGCCAAATCTCACTCTACAATTCCAGTAAAAGCTTAAGACATTCTTAGGCAATGCAGGACTGAAGTATTAAAAATTTACGACCTACCGGCTTTTCGTTTTATCTCTGATGCTGCAAGTGTCCAAGGGGAGAACCCTGGAAGAAGCATCGGGTGTTTAGCAGAATGGCGTGCACAAAAAAAACTAAAGTCAACAAAAGTCAAACAAAACAAAATAATAAATCTCTTGAAATGTGAGAATTACATAGGAGAAAGTGTTGCATGTGACTGTCTGGACAAGAAACTATAATTCACTGTAGTTCATTGTCTGTTTGTTCTCAGTCTCTTTTGATTTAATCATCCAGATGTCTGTTCAGAAGAAAAACTTGCCCAGGAAAATTTGCTGCAGCTTTATCAAAACATTTCCATTTACCAATCAGTTTGATCTGCTTTGACTTTTTAATCATCTCTTCGGTTACCTTGGCTTTAGTTCTACATTTTTTCAACATCATCTTGACTGTTCAATCAGTTGAATTTCTTTAGTAATCAAACGCTTAATCAAGGACTGTGACCTGAACATGTTTCACTTTACATCATCCAGTTATAATAGTGTTTTGTTTTTGAGGGTGACAAACAATATATATATGTTTATTTATAAATAAATAAAATATTTAAATCAATTTTAAATGTTATTGAAATTAGTTTTAAAGGTTAACCAAGTGAGTTGTAGGTGAGGGAAAAGTTATCTAATTGTTAAAAAAGGGAAATGAGCATTACATTTTAACTACATTATGTATTACACTTGGAAGAAAAAGTCGGGGATACAGTGTAAAGCAATCCAGTCCATAGCAGACAGCCCTGTAAAAGCTGGCACTGACATTTATTTGGCTTGGCTTGCATTTAAATTGAGCTTCCACACCAAGGGGGGCGACAGCCATGTCGGCACGTTCGCACACTCCAGGAAGTCCCTTTATTTACATTACATTTACATTTACATGTAGTCATTTAGCAGACGCTTTTATCCAAAGCGACTTACAAATGAGGACAATAAAAGCAGTCAAAACTAACAAAAGAGCAACAATATATAAGTGCAAATGACAAGTCTCGGTTAGCCTGACGCAGTACACGTAGCAAGGTGTATATATATACATATTATACACACACACACATATACGCACACACACACACAGAAATAAAAACAAGTAGATAGAATAGAAAAAATAGAAAGCTAGTGTTTCATCAATATCTTGACGTACTGAATAGGCCTCCTAGTTTTCAAGAATGTGCCCTTAAATCAAACATAGCCTATTTCATTCAAAAATGATGTAAGCTATGTGTGGTTACAGGAGGAAGATTCAAGTCTATAATCATGCTGTCTTAAGTACAGAACACTCTAAAGCAGGACAAAAGGATGGATTTTTTTCCCAGCTGTCTGACAGGCGGACAGGTTTAAGAGGCACGATGGAGATGCGTGTTGAGCGCATGCAACTTTGCCCCAGATCAAGTGACTCAGGAAAAGCCCTGGAGAGAACTCCCAAACCTGTCGTGAGGTCCACCAGCAGAATATGATTACTTTAACATGCTGAGAGTCCCAACCCCCTCTGGCAAAAGCACTTTGTCCAGTACAGGAGAAGAAAACTCTGTCAGGCATTGGTGACTCAGGAGAAACAGAACATTTTTTCTTCTGCCTTGCTACCTGTGATTTTGGTTTTCTATTGGTCTACGCTCTACGCTATCAACTCAGCCAGTTCAAAACTAGTATGAAGCATTAACAATCTTTTACTGTTTATTTTAGCACATCCAGTGATCTTGTTCCTATTCTGATATGATGCGTTTTTGTGATTTTTCTCTATTCCAGCCCTCATTTGAAAGGAAATAAACCTTCCACTCAGTTACATAACTCTTAAATTATGAACATAATTTAATTTTAATTAACTAAAATATTAATTTTAGTTTGTGAATATGGGGGTCTATATGACTGGACCTGTTTTTTAAACTTAACTCAAAATTAGCAGATATTTCACCACATATTTATAAGTTAGTGCTTTGAATTGGAATATGTTGGGAAGTTATATTATTCTTCATGTATTTCAAGTTTCTTAATTTGTTTTAAGTTCTTGGCCTTTAATTATACAGGACAGTGAAGTAGTGACAGAAAACACCCAGATCACAAAAAATATGATGGTGTCCATAATTTCAAAGTTATGTAACTGAGCAGCACTTTTTTTTGCTCTCAGACAAACAAAAAAAATGACAAAACCCCCTCGAGGAAGGACAGCATGACTGAAGAAGCTAAAATAAACAGTCAAAGATGGATAAATGTTTATGCTAGGAAGTTTTGAACCTGATGAAGTAATAAAGTAGCAAAAAATGTCACATGCACTGCTCACCAGTTTTCTGGTTTTTAAAAAGACAACCGAATGGAGTACACATCTGTAAGACATTACATTCTGCGGATATAAACAATAGGAAATGTTATCTTTCTAGTGTTGGCCTTTGAGGGTGGGAGCTTAACACAATAAATACAAAACCATTAGTGGTCCTTTCCGTTCTCCAGGACCTTTGGGTCAGATCATCGCACAGGATAGCTACTTATTCTGAACCTGTGAAGTCATCACACAGGACTTTGTTCACCATGCCAAGCTCCTTTCAAGTAGCACAGGAGACAGGCCTTGAGATATCACTAAATTCTAAGTCCTTGGTGGAAGCAGAGTTCCAGGAGCAGCCTTGGAATGTTCCAACATTCCCTTTAAAGTACAGCTTGCTTTTCTTCAATCACAACGTGATTAGCTGTCAAAGAGAAGTGCCAGACTGTTGAAAGAAATCAAAATGGTGCACCAATAACATCATCCTCAGGTCTTATTTCATCAAAGAATTCTTAGCTGATTGAATGATCCTGAACCATCCAGGAACAGATATATTTTATCTTAGAGGTGGACTACCTTCATATTTTGGTGAAATGGAAAAACTGTTCACAGAAAACCTACTCCTGCAAACAAGCCTGCACTGGCCCTTTACGGGCCCACTTGGGGCTGCCAGCGCAGGGCTTTTGAGATTTTGCTCATTGGCAAAGCATTGGCCCCTTAGTGCTGGCCCTGCACGGGCAGCCCTCACTTAGCCCACACTATTAATCTACAACAAGGGTGCCCAACCCTGGTCCTGATCAAACACACCTGAACCAACTAATTAGGATCTGAAGGAGCACTTGATAATTACAGACAGGTTTGTTCAATCAGGGTTGGAACTGAACTCTTTAGGAAGGTAGATCTCCAGGAACAGGATGCACCCCTGATCTATAACAATACATCCGTTTCATTTTAAATACTTTCAGCTACTATAAATTAAGTCTTTGGGAAAAACAGTTATTACACATCTGAAATTGATGCAGTCACCACATAACTATTGTCTATATTGTCAAAAATGTATAGTAGTCAAAGGGATTTCAAATCAGTGGATTTATTAAATACAAAACAGAAAACATTCAATTCAGGTTAATACAGCTACATATAGCCAGAAATGTAAATACACAAAAGTACAAAAAAAAGAGCAAACAAAGCAATGTAAGATTGTAGGATTTCGTCATGTGAAAGTTGATGTGTGTGAAAGTCTTATCTGTAGTACATCAATGTCCAAACACTGTCCATAACTGAAGTTGGCTGATAGCAAATGAATAATCCAACCTCTTGTAATGAAAACACACCACATCTCTCAAACAACAGACTTCTCCTAACCAGGAACAATCAAAAATAGTCCAGACTATAGTCTCATGTCAAAAATAACTTTAAATCCATATTCAAACTGGACCATGATGTGGTAACCTGACCAATAAAGAGTCCTTCTAATATGCATACAAATATACTGTCTTAAACTCTTAGCATCAATCCAAACATAGGCCATACATACATGTACCATCTTTGCAAAAAACACCAGCAATGTGCACTTTTAAATAGAAAACAAAAAAAAACTCCTTTAGACTGGGCTTAAAATTACACATTTCCCAACCAGGACACAGCACAATGTTTTCAGCAGGTGAGCCATGCTGGCTACTGCTGCTTGCTATTGCTAATTCTCTCTACCACATGGCTTTACTTAAGGAAATCTAAAACACTCTAGCATCCCTAGTGGTAGGGAAGAAAACTGCCCACAAAATTCTTATTAACAGGCTCATGTCTGGCCCACACTGGGCCATCATTGGATTAATGTGGGCAGTCCCATAGTGTGGGCTGCTCACAGAGAGCCTGCGGTGAGCCCAAAGCTGTGGGCCCCACCTGGGCAAGCCCGCACTGGGCCTGTTTAGGTTTGGTGTGGGCTGGCCCTAACCCACTGTGCCCGCAAAAAGCCAGCATGGGCACCGCAAGGACATGTTTGCAGGGACAGCTCCACTGATGTTCCTGGTTTGTTGTGTCTTAACTGTGTTCTCTAAAGGGAAGGACAAATATTGATGACTGGATGATTTGAATTTTAGGAAGCTGGAGGAAAAATACAAGATGTCCCCATCCAGTTCTGCACCTGTGGAAGTGAGAGCTGTACGTCATGTTTTCCAGACAGAAATAAATTCATTTCTCTTTAGCCGACTTTAGATACTACTTGCCAGAGAAACACGCATGCACGTAATCACCCACACACTGTTCTGAAACATTTAGATGGTACAAACCAAATAAACTCTAGGCCATGTTTAGACTAGACAGTCACTTGCTTGAAGCTGAATGAAAAATAAATAAATAAAGCACTGTTATGATGACCCAAACATATGCTAAATAAACTATGTCAATATGTAAGCATTTTGGCATGCCAAAATGAAAGGTAGCTACGGCTGTTACTTAAAGAGAAATTAATCTGTTATGGGAGCTGAATGAAAGCACCATTTACTGGCATCAGCACTTCGAGTCTGATTCTGCTGGGCTCCTGGAATCATCCAGAGCTGCCATTAACGTTGTTGCTGCCATAAAGTTTTCACTGCACTCTTTCCTGCTTTCTCCCGGGCCAATGTCTCCCTGTCTGTACACGGAAAGATTTATAGCTATTTGTTTTGTCCAACATTTTAAGATAAAAACAGCTATATCTCTATCAATCACCACTGCTGCTGAGGAAGAATCCAGACAAGTATTTTTTTCTTACTTTGGGGAGAAGAGAAAGTTTCCATATGATATTTGAATAAAGAAAGAAGGGGGGCAAAGGGATGAGGGATGCTGGAGTGTGAGAGAAAGGGACGAGGAATCATCCGCAGTCTTCAGCGAGTTCAGACGAAACCAGATGTTGAGATGTTTTTCTACCAGACAGAGCATCACCAGGATCACCACAGGTGTTTTTCATTTTGGCTTCCTTGAATACAGCGTCATCCTAGAGTTGATACTAGGATAACATATCACAAACGTTACAGGGACATCCATCTGTCATTGCAAGCTCTGAAACCACAGAAAAAGTGAATGTCGCTAACAACAGAGAACCATTCAGAGGAGGTATCATTTGCAATGGCTGTAAATACACCAGAGCAGACATTCTTTCTTTACTCTTTCCATCAGTTCTGTCCACACAGTTTGCTTTTGTCTTGTCAAATACAGTCCAATGGCCATTCTCAGGAATATCCATCCAATACAGAAGTAGCTGTGAACATCTGTGGTCAGGAAACCCAGGTCTCCACAACTGCTATTTTGAAAGCCCTGATATGGAAACAGTGAGCAATAATGATTTTCCTCTAGAGCAATTGTGTTGTGAAATATGAAGACAACTAAAAAAGAATTGGGCCAATAAGAGCTCCCTTGATAACTTCGAATTAGTCTGTCAGTGTCTTGTGGAACTCTCTAGTCTCTCTGTCGAAATCTTATAGTCTTTCTTGGTTTGGCAGTATGTACGAGTAGTAAGATCAAGCCATAAACATATATACTGTAATTGTCAAAGTTTCAGAACGCCGGAATGCCTTCCGCGTATGACAGATACCGGAAGTGAGAGAAAAGTGTTTATTACGTTTGAAATATGGATATTTTTCTTACAAAAATGCATGGATTCACTACAGGAGGCCTTTATTCACCCCCCGGAGCCGTGTGAGGCACGTTTTATTATGGATGCGCGCGCGTTATTTGACGACTTGTGGACTGTTCAACTGCAACACCCGCTGACTGCAATGATAAAGCTTGGAATAGCCAGGACAATTTTTAATATAACTCCGACTGGATTCGTCTGAAAGAAGTAAGTTATATACACCTAAGATGCCTCGAGGGTGAGTAAAATACAACCTACTTTTCATTTTAGGGTGAACTAACCCTATAAGATAAAAAATAAAGATGGGTGTCTGAAAGTTGCGGTCGGTGGTCAGTTTGTGTGTAAATGTACGTTTTCGCTGACTGCAATGATAAAGCTTGGAATAGCCAGGACAATTTTTAATATAACTCCGACTGGATTCGTCTGAAAGAAGTAAGTTATATACACCTAAGATGCCTCGAGGGTGAGTAAAATACAACCTACTTTTCATTTTAGGGTGAACTAACCCTATAAGATAAAAAATAAAGATGGGTGTCTGAAAGTTGCGGTCGGTGGTCAGTTTGTGTGTAAATTTACGTTTCTGATAAACGTTTTCCACTTTTGATGTCATTTCTAGCGAGAAATTAATATTGCAGTAATGAAATATTCACTTAGTTATCACCAAAGCTCTCTATATTTTGTTGTAGATCATTAAACCGTTCCTCTGCCTCAGAAGCCTGTCCGAAATCAGTTTCATGAGGTGCCTTCGTGCAAAAACACTGCCTGCAAAGTCATTGCCTCATACGGCAGCGAGGCAGCAAGTCAGCTGTCTAGTTTTCGGATGCAGCCATGTTGTCCACCCGCGAACATCTTGACCCACCCTCAAACTATACACGGTAGACCAATCACAATGGACTAGGCCATCTAACCAATCAGAGCAGTGTAGGCTCACGAAAAGGAGGGGTTTCGAGAAACTGACCCTGCGTTCCATTCGGAAGGGCTCATCCCTATGCCCTAATCCCTTCAAAGGGTTTACCCTCTGGAGTGAGAGCTTCGAAGGGTAATCTGGCCCCTTGGTATAAAGGAGAATAAATGCTGGCCCTCGTCACTATAAAAGTTGCCCATCCCTTGGAACTACCCTTCAATATGGCGGCCATGATTGTTTTCACTCCGAAGTGCCCTTCGGAGGGCGATATATCTCGTTTGGAATGCACCGTGAATCTTTGAACTGCTTCGAGTTCGAACCATTGAGAACTGAGGTGAAATGTATATTATGAGAAAACAAGTGTTTTTTTGTAGTGATGGTGAAATGAAGCTTTGCGAAGCACCGTGGCTTTCACCTCAACTGTATCATAAAATGGTTCATTACTGGAAGCTTTTCAACACATTGCACACTAATGACATCTTGTGGTCAAAGGTGGAAAAGGTGCCCAGCCATTTTTGGGAGAAGGGTGTTCCTGCACAACCGGAGGCTGCAGTTTCAGGACCGCAGTTCTAGGACCCTATTCTTTTGTAACAGCGCCACCTACCGAATTGGATAATATAGCGGAGGCTGCAGTTTCAGGACCGCATTTCTAGGACCCTCGTGGTTTAATTTGTAGTAATGTTTGTACATGTTGTTAAAGATATTGAATCTCAGGAACATTTTTTTTTCTATGCAGCACTCCTCTCAGATCGGCAAACAGGACAGTTGTTCCTCACTGTCGAGGTAGACAGGCACTCGGGAAGAGGTTAGCTTATGAGACCACTTAGAGGGCTTCCCGTTGAGTACACCCTATGGGCAAACCATGGTGCAAAAACAGTTATTTTGAGGAAATTGATACATTTAAGATACAGATGCAATAATTTGCAGCATAGTTAAAATATATTGTTAATGTTATTCCTAATTAAGGCCCTTGGTGAACCTTTACTATGAGTTTGTTTGTAATGATGATTAAATGTGAACATTGTTTAAGTACCACTAAATGCTCCTCAGATCTCTGTAACTTTACAATGAAGTCCAGCAGTCTCTTTACCTCTGCAGTGTGGTCATCGACAGGCTGAATGTGGATTTCCTCTGAGATAGCACTCCGTACACTGGCTGAAGAGTTTCTTGGAGCAAGTTTCTGGCCCCATCAGTCCAGAAGGCAAACCGCTGACCATGCCTTTCAAACATCAACCAGATTAATCTAAAATACTGCCAAAGGGACAGGCTAATAACACATATTGTGGTGCAACCAAGCAATGAGCCCAGTTTAATTATGAAAGATTATTTATACTTAACTAATATGCTAAAACAATGAGTATCAAACAAGTTTTCACACTAATACAGTAAGCTACAGGTAAATC